AGCTGCATGATTAGCATCTAAAGTTAAATCAGAAGTAAAAAAATAAATAAAATAAAAGTAATCAAAATAAATAAATAAATAAATAAAAGGATCCATCCTTTTGTGTGGGATCCAGATGTTTTGGAACTAAAGCATGTTATATAGTTGTTATAAATAGCTCAGCAGTATGAGTGAAGTAGGAAGTGCATCTGGCCTGAATAACAAACCACACAAAGCTGATGCACTTCACATTCACTACCAATGAACTAAAATCTTTTACATTCTGAAACTAGTCACACTTTAAAAACAATACAACCATTTAATGTCCACTTATTTACTTTATCTATTTATTTATTTATTTGTCAAGTAGCCATGAAACTCCCATTATTGAGGCTAAAAAGCACGCTAAATCATAATTAACTATTAAACAGCACTTCCCACTTCAACCACAAAGGGGAGGTGTTGCATCTCTGTGAGAAAATTCCCCATTCTCAATCTCTGCTGATTGCACAGACTTCAAGATTTTGCATGAAGATATTAAATGGTAAAGCATGCATCCTGCTGTTGATTAGTTTCATTGTTCTGAAAAGCTTCTTCTGAAGTGATGTTCATAGTGAAAAATGCACAAATATCACTCTACCTGTGTTGCTCTTGATCCTGGTATGCTTTGCTACACCCTATAAAATTGCATTTATTTATTAACTGAATAATCTATTAATTAATCCACTGCACAGTTGCTGTTTTCAGTTTGCTGCAATTATGTGGTTAATATCTTTATGTGGAGGAGAATATGTATGTTGAGGTGATGTTGAGGGATTATGGTTATATGCCAAAGTAAATTATTTTAAAGGATGTTCAGTCAGATAACAGAAAGATTCAGTGTAACATGCTCATGATCAAAGGGATGAAGAATCTGTAGTAGTGTATCGTGAAACACTCTTCCTGTGCTGTATGAGACTGATCGGCTGTGTCGGACATCTGGCTTATATGATTCTGACAGCATTCTCTGTGATGGGAGGGAACTTGTCTTACTTTGACAGACAGGAAAGTTTTCACTATCATATCTGCTGAGACTGTGACTTAATTCCAATTACTGTCAAAATCGTACCATAATTAACATCATATCATTGCTGCTGAATAAGTCTAAAACTTTCAGTCGAAGTACTTGATTGACAGTGATTCAATGTCCTCTGAGGTCTGACATGGATATGCAGACATGCATAATATATACATTAGAAATAAAGTGATTTTTTGTTCATGCATCATCTAGGTACAGCACAGAGGCTTTGGACCAATCAAAGCTGGTGGATCACTCAATCAAGCAACCACATCTGTCAAATTGAGTTTAAACAGAATAAAGAAGGATTTTCTGTCTTAAAGAAATACTTCAACCAAAAACGAACATTTGCTCTCTGGCTATCCAAGATTTTTTTCTTTTCTTCTTGATCTGAACAGATTTGGAGAAACTTAGCATTGTATCACTTGCTCACAAATGGATAATTTGCAGTGAATGGGTGCCGTCAGAATGAGAGTCCAAACAGCTGATAGAAGCATCACAATAATCCACAAGTAATCCACACCACTCCAGTCCATCAATTAGCATTTTGTGAAGTGAAAAAAAAAATGGGTGTTTGTAACAAACAAATTCATCATTACAGTGTTTTAACCTTAAATCACTGCTTCTGGAAAAGTCTATAATATTAATGCTTCCTCCAGTGAAAAAGTCCATCCCCTGTTGTCCTCTTATCAAAATCCACCCACATATTTTTTTTTAGAACTGTTTTTGATTGTAATCTGTGTTTGATCTCTGCAAATGTCTCTCCTGATTCACCTTTTTTCACTGGAGAAAGCAATATTATATACAGAGGACACATATTTTAGCCGGAAACAACAGTTTGAAGGTAAAATGCCTTAATGATGGATTTATCACAAACACACAGCTTTTCACTTTAAAAGATGTTAATTGATGGACTGGAGTCATGTGGAATATATGTTATGTTTTTATCAGATGTTTGGCACCCATTCACTGCAGAGGATCCATTGTTGAGCAATTGATGTAATGCTAAATTTCTCCAAATCTGTTCAGATGAAGAAATAAACTCATCTACATCTTGGACAGTGAGTACATTTTAAGCAGATTTTCATTTTTGGCCAATACGCAGAAATACTGTATTAGTTGTGAACAAGATTTTGAATAGAAACAGTTCATTTGTTCATGTTTCTGGACTGCTGTCGCACAGTTCATTGAATTAGTGGCATTAAAGCTATCTTGCAAACTATAATACACAATATTTGCAGTACATGAACCCTTTGTACTACAGTGAATATAAACACACCTGTAATGAAAAATCTTTCAGTAATTGTTTTCCTTTTATTGTACATTGACAGATTTTGATTAAAAAAATTAAAGCCTGAAAAATTATGATTTTTTTTTTTATTTGTTGAATTTGTGAATTTTGGTTAACCCAGTAAATAGCCTCGTTTGGGTCTTAGAGTCAATGAACCATTTGTCGTTTTGTTCACATTTTCACTTTGTGTAAACAAGCAATTTACTGTGAATTACCACACCCCTCTTTGTTCCTCATGGACATACCTATACTTTTCAAACCAACGTGTGTTTTACTAGCTGGGTTGATGTGATGGTGGTTGCATGAAAGAGGAAGATAAATGGATTATACAGGAGGAAAAACAAAGGCTTCATCAGCACTGACCTTGCTTCTGAATATCTGACTGGCCAATGTTAAAGGTGTAGAACAGGAGATTGAATAGCAGATGCATTTGTGACAGGTTATTCATTCATGAAGTGAATTTATGCAGACACTGTTTGATAAACAGTGATGAAAAGTAGCTGTGAAGAGGCAATTATGTGCTGTTCTGATTACCAAGCACTCTTGGCTGAAAGGCATTAGGAGGACAAAGACTGGGTTAGGTAAGCCTCTATTTGCTCTTCGTGATTGGCAACTCTCACAAAAAACAGATCTATGTGGCTCAACGAATGTACTTGAACACTTACTCGAAAGCAAAGTATTTTGGCATTATTTCAGTGTGCACTTCTGTTTCACACTTTTATTACAGTAGAAATTCATTGTCAAATTAGCATATACATTGACACAACTCAGCACCCCCACCATTTTTTATACATCAAAGCTAATTTTCTCTTTTTAAAAAGAAGCGGGCCCTATGTGGAATTGCCATGGATATCATTTCAATTTGATCAGTCATTTGGCAAACCCCCATTTCCCGAAATTCTGCATTTCAACTAGACTAACCACAGGAGAGACTTGTTGCTATGAGAAGCAGCTAATGAATTGTTAGGTTGAAGTGATAGTTCACCCAAAATGAAAATTCTGTCATCATCGACTCACTCTGAAGCCACATTATAATAACCTGAAATTCAGTTTTATTTGCTGAGAGTCTTCTTCTCCCTAAAAATCTAATCTTTAGACCAACATGAAGGGGGGCAGATTTAAAATCTTGTTTATTAGGGTGGCATGAAGACTGAGAAGTGGCAACAATGAATCAAGCATTCATGCACAGTTTATGGATTTAGGGCCTTACATACACATTAACCATGTCCATGAATATGCAAAACAGTTGCATTTCCTCAGATGGACAACAAAGTAATTATCTGTTTAAAAAAAAAATGACAAAATGTATTTTGTTATTTTTTGCCATAGGAATAGTCGGTATGCGATAAAGGTCAAAAAAGAGCAGCATTATAAAAAATAATAACATTTATTTGGCTGAAGTCACATACATTCCTGTCCAGTTGAGACATGATTTATACGAGGACCTCTGAGTTAGCCGAAATAGTCATTTGTTAAGTAGTTTTTTTAGTAGTTTATTTATGATGCTACAATAGGCCTACTATTAAACTACATTGGTGCTGTATGTTTTTGATACAATAAAAAGAACTAGTTCATAAGAGCCATTTGTTCGTGAATCGGACTACACTGGTGGTTCATGTGTGTGCAGCCTGCGAGGAGAACTTAATAGAAGGAGCTGCTGTTGTCTTGCCATTATTTCATGGTACACAGGCTTTCATCTCGTCACGAAGCACAGCTGCTGAAAATAAATCTTGGAACCACTGCTTACATTTTATTCAATGGGATGCTAAAGTGACAGTTTGGCAAGGTTTTATCTTAGGATGGCAGTGGCTCCCTGCCACCACGATAGATAAGCCTATTAGGGTGAGTAAATCATGACAAAATTTTGATTTACCATAATACAGTCAGCTTTTTTGCTTTGTTAGAAATATTGTTAATTTAATTTATTCCACAAACTTTCAGATGTGTTGACCTTTTTTTCAAAAAGGTGGGAAAATAATAATAATAAAAAAACAACACTGGATGGAACTCTCCATCAATGTTCAGACCTCAACTTTAATAAAAAATGTTCTCCTGACAGCTGATATTTACCTTAGTTTTTCTTTGTTTTCTTTGCACATCACATTTCATCTCAAACTATTCTGCTATCTCCCTGGTGAACAAGTTCTCTAACTTTTAATAAAGCTCTGTTAGTAGCAACATTGTAATGGAAGTGGTGCAACAACTGTGAGGCATTAATGTATAATTACTGAAAAATATATATAAATGATCTTCAAAAAATATTGACATTGTTTATGATCATTTCTTGCATTAAGAACATCATATTTTTTTATTTTAATTATGATTTTTTTATATCAATAAAATCTACACCTAAAGGCAGTTTAAATGTAGCATGATAAACACAATGTGACCTTCATTTATTTAAAAATATATGAATAAATAAAAACTTTTCTTTTTAATACAATTCAACCCCTGGAACATAAGAATAACTGAAGAAAATTAAAATCTCGCCCATAAATAAAACCCTCTTCATTCAACCATAACCAACAGCGATTATACAAAATAGATTTCCATTAATTTTCATATTAAAACTGTAACTGGAATTGTGATGGGTCTATTCTTTCATATAGGTACTGGACGCAGCTGTCTTTATTCATTAATCTAGGCTATATCACTTTATTCGCAATCTCAGTGTATTTCTCTATCTACGTTTTGAGCTTAGGCTACAACTTTTCTACCTTTGACCTGAAACAATATTCGATTGTTTTGCATCCTCACAAGCATGCAATTAATCAGCATGCAGTATACCCTGGACTGGACTCTGTAACCTCTAGCAGATTGCGTCGGTCCCTCGCTCACTGAGGAGTGTGTGCTCTTCATCTGGATCTGCTCCACGGTTTCACGGGCCACGTCACGTCACGGAGGGGGCAGAAGCGGATTCCTGAGCGCTGCTCGAGTTTCCTGCGATCACATCCTCAGATCCACATCTACAGCGGAGCGAGACGCCGCGCTTTTCCTCCTCCAGCTCACTCAATCGGCTCTTTTTACAAAAATGGTGAGAAACCTGAACGCTATTTGCAATCTTTTACAGCGTCTAAACAACTTGTGTCGAATTGCCTGGAACGCTTTCTCTGTGTGTAATGTCTTTCCCTTCTCTCTCTTCTCTCCGCCCGCTACGCCCGTTACAGATGTTTCGGTGTTTACCCGTGTTTTTCCTCCTGGCTGTAGTCTGCTGTCATGCCGAGGTAAGTTATATCAAACCTGCATTCATTAAGGAGAAGAGCTCGTCTTTTTTGAAAAATGTTTATGGGGATCCGAATTACATTCTTTCTGGAATCCAACTTGCCCTTAATGAACTGTAAAAGAAACGAGTCCGGGCAACTGTTAACTTAGAACAAAACAAGGGGGTAATGATGATTATTTTAAAGGCGAACTCAGTATTTTCTTCGTTTTGATCATTGGAAAAGTTTTACACATAATGAAAATCATTTAAATAATTTTTTAAAACACTTTTAAAAAATAATAACTTTTTTCCCATTTGCACTGAAAAACAAAAAGTTGGTGGGGAAACATTTTTCACTCAGAAATCGCTAGTAAAATTCACAAATACAAAGAAACGGGACATTGAAAAAAACATGAAGTTTTGCAGTAGAAAAGTAGTATTTGAAATGGTATTTTCTTGTAAAATATACTAACCGTTTTACCCAATTTATAAAGAATGGTGGACCAGCTGAGTTGTCAAGATGCATCTGTCACAAAACGCACATTTACATCACCTGGTTTGTGTTTGTGTGGTTAATGAGCTCTGTGTGTGGTGAGAGGTTGGTGGTCTTTGCATTGGAAATTCAAGAGCTGTAAACACACAGCTGTTAAAACCAATCAGATAACAAACTGTTAGGAGGTGTTTGTCCAGTGAGTTTACACTGATTTCAATGCTCAGATGCAGCTGCTGATGGGGGCCATATGTTGTGTTTTTTTAGTGTTGAGTTAATTGTGATCTTTCGCTCTCTAGTGCAATAACAGCCTGCCAGGTGAGCTGTGTTTAAGCCACACAAGAAGAGGAACTCAACACTTACAAATGAAAGCATTCTTTCACTGTATTGTGGAAATGACCTATGCATTTATTTTTCATGAAATCCAAGAGAATGCCTTCTACTTTTATGTATGTTAAGAAACAACATGCATTTTGGTGAAAGTTGTCTCTTGTGTCAGTGACACATGCATCAAGAATGCACTTCCTGCGTAAAACATCTGCAGATTCTCAAACAAGCACAATTATACACAAAACAAAGTGGCTTTAGCTTTAAAAATGTATGACATGAGATCACATGTTCCCAAGCATTATTTTTTCATTTAAATGAAGAGCTGTTGTTGTTAGAGCATGCTATTGTATAACAGCATGCACACTATTGTTTGGTCTCTGCTCTAGAATTATCTGTAAGTGATTTCATGCTGACAGGCTTGATAAGAAAACACTTAAGCTAAAAGAACAGCAACTCATAATGGGTGTCATGCAACCCGCATGATTCTTCTCTCCGCTATTCACGCAGTTCATGCTGTGGTTTGTCTCTTTCTTGTATCTCACTCAGTGGGGGCTTTGGAGCTGTCAGAGCTTGTGTTCCCTAAAGGCATGATGTGCTGCTTACATAGACAAGCTCTTAAAAAGAGTGTCACCCTAAATTAAAACTCAGAATTTCCTACTCCCACAATACAATTTGTGCTGGGATGATTTTGTAGTTGGTTGGTAGTGTATGCACACTGTAAGTGTAAGTGGATTTGTGTGCATATATACTGTATAGTTGAAGTCTAAGGTAAAGAAACTTGCTCGTGATTATGTTTTCATATAGAGCACATATAAAGACGTATTTTCGCCATTCATTTTCTCCATATGGATTTAAAGAGAAGTTGTAAAGAGAACCAAACCAGCTCCAATACAAATCATAAACTTTAAGCAAAAATGTATATGAAAATTAAGGGCAAAAAAAAAAAAAGATACAAGACTGCATAGATCAGTTGTTTAATAATCATAAACTTATCCAGTAAAGTATACTGTGAATGATATAATTGAACAAAAAACAAGGTTGCTATATAAAACTTTTGATTTATAGCAACTGTAACAAATATCATTGCTCAACAATCTTTTGCGGTAGGTCTTAACTGAAAGGTTTGCACATTATTGCCAAGCAATTCTCTATGGAGAAAGTCAATGGGTTTTTAAGTTAAGAATGTTACTGTTTTGCGCTTTATTGCAAGTTTTACGATTGGTAGTCAGCAAGAAACTTTAAACCATTAAAGGGTCTGTCATCATTTACTGTCATCATTTACGTACCTATGCTGTTCCAAACCTGTATGACTTTCTTTCTTCCATGGAATATAAAAGAAGATGTTTGAAAGAATGTTGGTAACCAAACATCCATTGTATGGACAAACTTTGGAGCTGTCAGAGCTTGTGTTCCCTAAAGGCATGATGTGCTGCTTACATAGACAAGCTCTTAAAAAGAGTGTCACCCTAAATTAAAACTCAGAATTTCCTACTCCCACAATACAATTTGTGCTGGGATGATTTTGTAGTTGGTTGGTAGAGTATGCACACTGTAAGTGTAAGTGGATTTGTGTGCATGTATGCTGTATAGTTGAAGTCTAAGGTAAAGAAACTTGCTCGTGATTATGTTTTCATATAGAGCACATATAAAGACGTATTTTCGCCATTCATTTTCTCCATATGGATTTAAAGAGAAGTTGTAAAGAGAACCAAACCAGCTCCAATACAAATCATAAACTTTAAGCAAAAATGTATATGAAAATTAAGGGCAAAAAAAAAAAAAGATACAAGACTGCATAGATCAGTTGTTTAATAATCATAAACGTATCCAGTAAAGTATACTGTGAATGATATAATTGAACAAAAAACAAGGTTGCTATATAAAACTTTTGATTTATAGCAACTGTAACAAATATCATTGCTCAACAATCTTTTGCGGTAGGTCTTAACTGAAAGGTTTGCACATTATTGCCAAGCAATTCTCTATGGAGAAAGTCAATGGGTTTTTAAGTTAAGAATGTTACTGTTTTGCGCTTTATTGCAAGTTTTACGATTGGTAGTCAGCAAGAAACTTTAAACCATTAAAGGGTCTGTCATCATTTACTGTCATCATTTACGTACCTATGCTGTTCCAAACCTGTATGACTTTCTTTCTTCCGTGGAATATAAAAGAAGATGTTTGAAAGAATGTTGGTAACCAAACATCCATTGTATGGACAAAATAAAACACTAAGACATCATTCTAAAAGATCTTTAATCTTCCTCAAAAAGAAAGTCATACAGGTTTGGAACAATGTGAAGGCAAGTACATGATGAGAGAAGTTACATTTTTGTGTGAACTTTATGCACAAAAATCGGCATGCCTAAGGATCAAACTCTAAAGAAAAACTCTGGCACATGCAATAAAAGAATCTAAAAAATAGCCAACAGTTCAATTTAAAGAGTCCTTTTTTCTTTCCCTTTCAGTCTTATCCTCTGTCCCTCTTTGTTGTTTACAGTATACATTAATGTACGAAGAAAATAGAAGGAGACAGTCCAGAATGTGAAACATTATCACACACACTCACACTCACAAACAAACACATTATCACAAACTGCGGAGGAGAATGAAATTCAGCTTTTCTCATGGCACTGGGTTTTTTCTAACATGACTAAATGTAATAGCAGAGGCAGGATAATGCAGTTACCTAAATCCCATCCTACGATCAAAAAGATTGCTCGCAGAGTTTTGAGTTGCTTTCTACCTGCGTTTCACTGCTGCCTTACAGCAGGTGAATCAACTGTGCTTCAAGCCCTGATAAAAATAGAAGTTACCGAGGGAAAAAGAAAATGAGGGAGAAAGAGAGCGTGAGGTTGGGAAAAAGAGAGGTGTAGTGAAAGAGAACACTGTCAGGGTCACAATGCCCCGTCTCCTGGAGACAAGTGGGCTTTAATAAGACTAGGCTTTAATGAGAGTCTGCTGTGATTTCAACTAATAATGGTGTATTTAAGTAAATTACAAATCAGACCATAGTGAAATAGTTGTTTTGATTTTTCCCGATGTAATGCCTTTGTCTTTTTGTGGCGTTATAATGAAAGAAATGTATATGTATTTGTTCCTAATGCACGTTAGTGGATGTGCCAGAAAAGCCAGCTGCCTCACAGCCCAGTCAGTCAATGACTTAGTGTTTTTGTATGAAGGCCCCTCATATGGAAACTGGTTGCAGACAGGCTGCCAATGCAGCATAACGTCATGTCTAATGATCCAGAACACATTCACGTGAGCTGAGAAATTACCAAGGAGGTCAGTAAGTCTGTGAGCGTTCCCTCTCATCTCAGTGGAGCTTGGAGCCATCAATGTAAAATGTTACTAGACAAAATTGATTCGGCGGAATACACAGCTAACTTTGAATGGCCGTTAAGTCTGTTCAGTTTTGAAAAGTCGTGCAGTGTATTCCAGCCTTTAGTAAACAGGATGATACTAACATATTGGATTTGGACTTGATGTCTTCATGGCCCCATATAATGATACACAGCATTTTTCCTGTCAGCACAATCAGTATTTATAAGCTTCACTAAAATGCTTTCAGTAATCTCTTGCAACGAGGCTCTGGCAGAAGGAATTCTTTCTCCCTCAGGGTGTGAGTCTAATGTCCACAGACAGCTGGTCAGTCTTTTATAAAGAGGATATAAACACTGCTCACCTGGTTACACCAGTGGGACACATGGAAAAGAGCTCAAATGAGAGCAGATATTTTAAGCTGTTCATCTCAGTCTCTGAATACTACATAGTATTTGTGCTACCAATACAAGTATAGTATAGTTAGTTCCATTTCACACTGAATCCAGTCTTCAGTTTATTACCCAAAAGAAGAATAGAAATGTAAAAAATCTGCAGGTTCTGTCTGGATCTGGTCATGTGTTGATTTAGACTGACAAAAACAGCTGAATACGAAAACTGAACTTTAGTGCAGACACAAAAGTCTTTTGTTTGAAGAACAAGGCTGATGCAAACTTGCTATGGTTGTTGTGTTGCTCAGTGTTGCTTGAGAGCTGTAATATATTTCATACTCTGACTGGAAACCATCTGCTGCATATTAACATTGAAAAAAAAGACACTATCCATATCCACTCTTTTCTGTTATTTTCCTTTTTTATCTCTGTCACTGTTAACTCACGTTTGATAAGCTTTCACTCTTATCTTGATTCCTCTCTCTTTCTTTC